CTTAGATGCTTTCATTACCTACACTCTAATGACACATACATATAGGGCTTTGGGGGTGGGCAAACTGAATGGCATCCAGAGTTAGATCTCATCATTCAGCCACATACGAGCAGGCGAAGTGAGGCACGGGGTCTTTTCACACCCCTGTTCTCTCTTCATTGTCTGGGACTGGATTCCGGGAGGAGGAGCTGGCCATCCAGTCGGGGTCTGCTGCTGGTGGGCTAGTCTGCTGCTGTGGGGACCATATCCTTGGTCTGGGGAAGACTGCCAATGTTGGGGTATTGATGGTGACGATTTGTCACCTAGCGTAAAATGTTACGCTTTGGGAGTGAGAACGTGTTGACCTGAGTGAATAGAGGGTGTATGGGAGTGTGAGTGTGCGTCCAGCGTTCATTTTGGTGTGTCTAGATGCTAGGCGACTGGGTGAGTAATTGTATATGTGTAGATGAGGGTGGGAATCATGCTTGTGTCTTGTGTATGCCCGTGTGTCTATGTTCATGTTTCAGGTCAGGCCTTAGACTTTAAAAAAATGATTATTTTCTAATTATTTACTTGAATTTGTTTGGCTGTAGTGTTTATCACAAGCACATCCTTGTGACTGTTAGTTTGATGTTTGGTAGGCTTCGTCAGTTATATTTTAGATAGCAAGGAGCAGACGGGTGAGATTATTAAACTCCACTGAGACAGCTGGTGACGCAAAACTGAAGGCTAGACCGTCCAATTTCACAGCCGCTCACTTCCGGCCTACCTGGCCTTCAGAGGACCCGGCCTACGTAGACCACGAAGGCTGGTCTACGTAGGCCTACGTAGGCCTACCTCAGGAGGAGACAACAAACATTTAAGCCTGATTTGGTTTGTAGAGCAAGAACATATTTTTTACAACAACCACTGAACTTTCTGCAACAAATACAATGATAACTGTTTATTAATAGCCTTTCTTTTAATGTGCAATGACAGCTTAACTTAGCTTAAACTCAGCACATATATCACTGTTAAATTATTTGGTGGCTCTAATTACCACTAAATGAAAAGAGATTATTTTACTTTTCTCAGTAAAAGTCATAAAACTGTCAGAGAAGCAGAAGCAGTCCTACCTTTCAGGATTGAATGGTGTGTTGATGGATCCACTTAGCATTGCCGTGACATCACCACAGGCAACATCTGCAAACTATGCACACTCAAAGGGGATTTTGAAGAAACACACACTCATCTTGTAAGAACTAAAAAAGCTAAAAACAAAAATTAACATAATATTTTATCCTGAATTTACAGTTAGGTATTTGTGTCTTCCTGTAAAGTGAGGTTTATCAATCATGAAGAAGTCACTATAAATGTGATAATGGAACATTGGACATTTCTAAAGTCCCTTATTCAGAGAAATGACTGCACTTCATATTCCAAAGATCAATATTATGTGAACATCATTATATTCATAACAGGAAGTATGAGGCAGCAACATATCACTGAGGTTTTACCATTATGATGCAATGTTGTATTTAAAATTATTTTACTGTCCAAATGTTGCAATAATTTCACAGATGTCATTTTTAATGCGACTGTGGTCGTTTTTCCAGTCATTTCTTATAGTTCACCTTTAAGTTCGCCCAAGCTTTACAGGTCTGTACGCTCTTTAACAAACAACAAAGGAGCAAAACAAGCTATACTGCTTTTTAAAGATTTGCTAAGATTATCACACACTGTTGAAAGATTTAGGAGGTAAATGTAACAAATTCCAAGAATAACATTACAAACCCTCGCTAGTCTCGGGAGATGTCACTGTTTGGTGGCGGAGTAATCCAGGAAAAAACAGCATTTCATTTATAAAAACCTTTAATCAATTTGTTCACTCAACTTTATCTTTTCCTTACTTTATGGTATTTATGTGCTCTTTGAAGTAATGCAAAAGCTACTTTATTTAAAGCTATGTGTTACTTGCATTTGCACAATGCATCCACATAATTACAGCATCTAAGTGACCATTTTGGTATTTTTCCTTTTTTCCTCCTTTTGTGCTTTATAAGGACCTTCAAAATGTTTTTTTTGTTTGTTTGTTTTTTATTTAAACTCAAATTCCTACTACAATTACACACAGTACAAATCAATTTTTCTGGGACTGCTGCACAATTCACTGAACTCGAAAAAATTATGAATCAAAGAATATTTGTGTTTTTGTTTGCTTTTTTTTTTTTCAACTGTTGGGAAAAGTTGGTTGTTGCACAACAGAGTAAAACCCAGCCAAACTCAACCAAAGCAGGGCTCCTTTGAATGTGTGGGCTGCTGCTCACTAAGGAGAGCGCTCCATGGAGACCGACACGAAGATTCATTGACAGACAACGAGGCAGCGTGAAGATTGCTTTTCTCCATCGCCATCACTTATACTCTGGAGGGATTTGCTGCACTCTGCAGCCCACTTTTTATTTTAACCAATCTCAAGACAATCCTGTTTAACAGAGAGAAAGAAAAGTTAGTAAATTCATGTTGAAAACTTACAGCAGCAGAGGCACAAATCCAAAATGAGCGAACAGGGTTGTTTTCACACTCTGACCATCCAGGACACCCAGTAGTGAAGGTATCTATGACAACAACAAATTCTTAAGGACACATTGCCCACCCCACAGACATGTGCCAAGTTTGCTTTGTGAATCCCCTTGTTGGTGCAAAAATACTATTATATTTCAGCCAAACTGTGTTATGTTTGGAATTTATAGACTTAATATAAAAATATAAAGAAATGGGAAGAAATTATGTGTTGTTCAGAAAGTCTGCTATGGGTACTTTGCTGATCAGCTCATCCCCTGACTGAAGGTGGCTTTTTTATGCTTGAAGCATCACTGTTAGTAAGTGGTTCCAAAGTATGTCCAAAGAAAAACTCTGACAGGCCTTCAGAAAGTCTGCAAAATAATTGCTGAAGAAATAAAGAGAAATTCTCCCTTCTTGGAACCAAAATGAATAAATGAGGGGAGTCTCAAGACTTCTGCACATTACGGCATACATTTTTAAATTATTCCTGCTGGACAGAAAACACCTCAAGACTTTAAAATGACTAGAAAACAACAAAGACATGGTGCACTTGGTGCAGGATCAGGATGTGATCGCACAACAGTCAGTGTTACACTTTGGAGTCTAAATAAAGTTTACAACCTTCTATGTTAAGATTTTATTTTTAAAATACTGCATATTCTGCCAACCAGGAGATAGCAGCAGTATTAGAATTGTTGATTAGACAAATATATTTCACATGTACAAAAATACTCAGTGGTACTGTGTTGTGTCTGATATGATCAGACATGTTCACCAGCAGGCTGCACACGTTATCTCTGGTTGGGACCCGCATTGCTCAACCCCTCAGACACTTTGCATATGTATGTTATGTTTGGATCTGACTCATTCTGTAAATTCTTTAAGGATGCATTTGTACAGTCTGATCTGAAGATGTTAGAAACAGAAATGGAACAGAAGCAGTGAATGTAGGATCAGTTTAAAAACATTCATGTGCCGTTTGGCTTCACTGATTTAATCAAACAAATAAAGGACAACATTGTGATGACAGATTTGTGTAAAAAGAGGAAATCTTACTTGGCGTTCTTCTTCAAGACCATAACAACATTCAGGCTACTGACCCCATGGGCTTTAAGCCTCGTCACCTCAATGCTTGCAAAAATACTGAAGAGAAAAAAAAAAACAAATAAAAAATTCAAACCACAAACTGATGTATTGTGACTGTTTACAATAATCTTGCAGTCTCACTGCTTTTAAAATGATTGCTTTAAAGATGAGGACCGGGTCTGTGACCGCTTCCTGCTAGTTGCCATCTTCAAAGCAGCAAAGCAGCAAAAAATTTACATTAACTACTTACATGCAGAGTCCAGTCAGCCTTGCTTTTATATAGGAATCCAGAACAAAACCCTTGGGCAAACAGGTGAGTCGAGTCCTCTATTGGAAAGAGACAGACTTACTGCAGCCACAAATGGTCTCCACAGTCACCTGAGCTCAGTCTAAAAGGGCACCTGTGGCATGTGGTGAAACAGAAAATTCAAATCATGGAAGTGTGAGATGCTGTCATCACGATCTCAGAGGAATGTTTCCAGCATCTTGTTGAAAGTATGTCATGAAGAACGAGGGCAGTTCTGAATGCAAACAGTTCAAAACCCAGCACAAGCAAGATGTAGCCTAATTGTGCTGTCAGCGTTAATCTCGTTAAAATGACGTTAACGCCATAACCGCATTAACACGTCAAATCTCCTTTAGCAAGTTAACGGATCGCATGTGCGGCTGCACGACATCAATGCGTTTAGACTTTGGCATTAATTCAGAGAGCACAGAAATAATACCACTAATCAAGGAAGAGATAAAGCTGAGTAAAAAAAAATCATTAAATGTTTTTATGAATGAAATGCTATTTTTGTTGGATTATACCACTACTACTAAACAGTAAATACTCCTGAGATTAGAGAGGGTTTATACTGGAATTTTACTCCTAAATATTTGTGTGTGTAATAATCTTACCAAAACTCTAGAATTGTTCTTGGAATGATTTTGTTGTTTCTTAAAGAGCGTACAGACCCGTAAAGCCTGGATGAATTTGAGATTTTCACAAATAATTTTGTTTTTAGTTGTTTACTACGAGATGACTGAGTGTTTCTTCAGAACCCTCTTTGTGTGTTTATAGTATGCAGATGCTTCCTGTGGTAATGTGGTAATTTTCTTTTATATCTCACTCACACTAGAGTAAAAAGAAGACAGCGTCTAGGAAATAATTACATGGATTGACGGTTGAGAATGCATAGCCCACAACCTCTGGGGGACCAATTTTGATTGAAAGGCAGTTACAAAGGTCACCTGCTGATGGCTGACCTGACTCTAAACAGTCGCAGACTCAGACAGATTGGCAAAGGTTTGCAAATAAGTACCACCTAACTTATGACGGATTCTCACCAAA